TCTCTCGTCTTCTTTCTCCTTCACTTCTCTCTCTCTTCTCTCTCTCTCTCTCTCGCTCTCTCTCTCTCTCTCTCTCCTCCCTCTCTCGCTCTTTTTCTCCCTTCTCTCTCTCTCTCTCTCTCTCTCTCTCTCTCTCTCTCTCTCTCTCTCTCTTCTTCCTCTCTCTCTCTCTCTCTTCTCCTCTCTCTCTCTCCGCTCTTCTCTTCTCGCCTCTTCTCTCGCTTCTTCGCTCTTTCCTCTCTCTCCCTCTCTCTCTCTCTCTCTCTCTCTCTCTCTCTCTCTCTCTCTCTCCTCTCTCTCTCTCTCTCTCCTCTCCTCTCTCTCTCTTTCTCTCTCTCTCTCTCTCTCTCTCCCCTCTCTCTCTCTCTCTCTCTCTCTCTCTCTCTCTCTCTCTCTCTCTGCTACCTCTGACATCAGCCTCCTCGCACCCATCCTAGCCGTGATGTCGCTGTCATTGAATATATTCAAATAAAACAGCTGTATTGGCCGATTTTACTCTCAATTTCTCCTTTTTACTTGTAACAATTCTGTTATAGTACATTAGAATAAATGTGAAATGTTGTCTTATTTTTTCGAGTGTCGATATAACTTTATTATATTCTGATGTGTTCCTAATTCATTACTTATATACACTCGGTCATCGTACTATATTACTGAGTGTCGTCTATATCTGTAGTCTATTCACCTATATTTTGTGATATCCACTAGTTTCTTTATTCATTTGTAAATCTGATTTATTTTATTTTATTTTGTCTAATTTATATATCTGTGTACATAAAATTTCTTCTGTCCTTATCCTTATTCATTCTCTTCCTTAATTTTCCCTGCTTCGTATCACCGCAACTATTCCTATTCTTTACCTACTCACCCCCCTTACATAGTGCTATTACGATCCTTCTTTAATTTTTAGTATCTAAATCTATCAGTACATCAAACATTTACGTAACCAGCTTGTATCTATTACACTCATAGTCAATTCAAATTACATATCACGAATTTCTCAATCTGAACCTCCTGTAGGGTCGTATTGCGATGTATCGGTACTCTATCTTTCTGTCGTAAATTTACCTCTTCATCTCGTCTATCCCTATCGTATAGCTCCATCTCGTATCTATCTCTCATTAAATAGATATATCATGGCAATCATACAACAGTACTGGTTGAGGATTCAGTATTTTGCTGTCGATATTACGGATACTATATATGTGTTAGTATTGTTGTGTGGTACTGTTATGTGGACCATATTAGATTTGTTGATTTTTGAATGATGGATTGCTTCTGTATATTACTTTGAGATTGTATATGGATAATTAAGAGACACTAGTCATTTGTGACTTGAAACACTATGTACTCAGTGCCCAGAAGGTAGAGTAGAGCAACAGATACGAGTAAATGCCTACCCTGCTCATGGACTTACTATATCACCCTGAACCAAAGAACAACTTCTATTTTCACAAGTAATCAACCTGTTATATAATATATAGAATTAGTGTAATAACAATAGCATAGTCCCTAAGCGTACTTGTGAATGGATAAATTGAATATTATAAGTATGTATTTATTATATATACAATATAGTACGCAGTACCAATAATAGGTATACACCCACCACAATATATATATTACCTATATTAATATCACCACACACACACACACACAGCATCTTTCAGATATATAAGTAATTTCATTTTTATATAATAGGGTAAGTTATAACCGGCACTCATCTGCCCAATTAACTACTACGTAACCACCCTACGTCCTGCGACTGATAAATACTATAGTACTACCGTAAGAATATATCTAAATATTATGTGTTTGTTAGTTATTCCGATCTATATAGTAATTAATTCCCTATGAATAGATGATATAGGCTAATTACCTAATAATCCTCAGATATCATTTATAAATAAAAATAATATGATTAAATATAATTTAAAGTGATATAAATTATATATATACATATATTTATACCAATACAGATAATATACATATAATACAATAAGACAAGAAGAAGAAAAATAGAGAAGATATGGTAGAAGATATATAAATGAGCATAAATAATAATATATAAATAGTTATAAATATATGTGAAAAAATATCTAGTACCTAACTACCACCAATGCATGTAATTGTATGTACAGAACGATGTACTATTATGAATGCCTAAAATTAAATACGTAGTGCTTACTACCTTATATATACGGTGAGATAAATATACGCACCTTACCACGCTATACCTCCCCAATATAATATGATCTAATCGTTAAATTACCTATTTATAATATGTAAGGTAAAATAAATAAGCTTCATATCATGACACAATATAATGACTTGACTCAAGTCATTATGTAATGTATCAATAAGATATGGGGATAATATTGGAACACGCATTGAAATAATATATATAAATATATATATATATACTATATATACTATATATTATATATATATATATTACACACACAACACACACACCACACACACACACACACAAATATTTTTTATATATATATTTTATTTTATAATATATTATATGCGTATATGTAATAAAATATGATGTTGATTCATTTAATTACGAGTAGTTAGGGGACCGAAGGACCCCCGTTCGAGACAGCGCCCTCTGGATCCAGAGGCAGGTAGATAAGGACAAGCAGTATAGCAAAGCAGGGCCAGGACAAAGGGCAAGGGTAGGCAGGTGTTGTGAATTCACTCGGTCATACACGGGACTAGTTTATGATTATTCGTCTGTAGTGTTCCGTCGTACCTTTGCCTTCACTTATGCATCCTTGCTTGATAGTTTTTTATGTATAAAATTACTTTAACACTTCTCGAAGAAGAGAAAAAAATACCGCCATATCCTGTCTGGTACGTTTTCTTTCCCTAATCCTCATCAACACCATGATTCATTTATTTTCTTTTCATAAGGGGGAACTCTACCCCCCTCTTCCCCCTCCCCCCACAATAAAGGGAGTCTCAAGTCATTT